GCTCTAGGCAATCCTGCTTCAGCAGGGGAGTTGGACTAGATGATCTCTATGTCCCTTCCAACTCTAAAAATTCAGTGAAATTCAGAGCCCACCAAACAGAAGTCAAGCAGTTGCTGCAGCTGAACAACTTGCCAGGTTATTCCGCAGCAGAGGGGCCGGGAGCCTTGCTGGAACGCAGGCTAACAGAGCGTCACTGATTTAATTGACTGATGATTTAATAAAATGCTCTGGATATAGATTAACTCGCTTTCCTTAATGTAGCCCAGCTTCCTGGCAGCAGGAACTGGCCCAGCGCTGCTCCTGGGCTGGGAGCTGGGCTGCACCCACCGCTGCTCCAGGGTCACCCGTGCTCCAGGCGGGACATGACACCTCCCCTTCCCCAAATGCATCCCCTTATCCTTCCCAAAAAAACACAGCTCAACACAAAGCTAAGGTACAGGCTAGAAAATAAAATAATAAAAATAATAAATAATAAAAATTAAATAATAAATAGTAAATAGAATTTTAAAATAAGCTTAAGTCTTCTTTACACTCTATTAAGCCCCCTACCCAGCTCTTCCAGCCCTGCCTTACTCCAGAGATGAATACCTGGCCAAATACTTGTAGCCTCAGGACTGAGTTTCTTCTTTTGCACCGTTTCAATCTCATAATTGTCAAAAAAACCAATATATATATAATTCAATGGATTACTTAACTCCTAGCCAAAGCCTGGAAAAGGATGAAGCAGTGTGGGGTTAATAAAAGCAGCACCATTCCCTGTGCCTGGCAGAGGAAGGCAGCAATCGCTCTCAAATGCGCACATCTGGTTTCCCTGCTCCCATCTCTTCACCCATTAGTAGATACAAAAAACAAGCCCACAAAACTGAAATCACAGCAGCTATCATTCTACATTCCATATGCTCGACTTCAAATACAGAAAGATACTGTAAAAGTTGGAAAAACAGAGAGTAAAAGGATTATTTGCTAGCTCTAATTATACAAACTGATCTCATCCTCTTGTCATAAGCCTCTTTCCTGTGTCCGGAATCTATTTGTGCAACATAAAGACCAGCCTTTTGTAAATGTCCCAGGGTCATCAACACAGGATGATTAATTTCCCATTTTACAATACACACATACTGTCAACCAATTAACTTGTAATAAGATATAACCCTGCCCTCGCTTGTCCATTTTTTTTTTTCCTTTAAAATATTACTAATGGCAAACAATATTTAAGATACCGATTTGTAAAATCCAAACGATGTTTCAAAAGGAGCTATCACGCTGCTATAATAAAATAAAAATCACAGACCCCATCTTCTGTTCAAGTAGCTACATCCTAATAAAGTTAAGAACTAACAGCCGACTTGGATTAAAGTGCAGCATGTACGCAAAAGCACACGTATGTTTATACTCAAATTAAGTCTTCCAACAGGTTCTGGGGCAGCTGTTTCACGTATGCACCAGACATTTATCTCAGGCTCAAATATTAACTTCCAGAAATCCTTAGCAGACATTCTACATGCCTCCTTAAATGACTAAAATCCAGTTTATACCTTCCAATAAACTTTGGAGTTTGAATACACATTTTGGCAGTAAATTGCAGGGAAGCTCTCAATGACAACCAGCTCATGTTTGGAAGAGAGATTATAGGTGCTTAATGAGGAACTTCTTGAAAAGCTCCAATTTTCAAAGGACTAGTAAAACCAGAATTTTCTGCAGAATTGGGGTCCATCCCAGAAAGTATCAAGCTGGGCAGCCGAGGCAGAAGCATCAGGAAAGGTGCTAGTTACCTTTGAAAGCAGAGATGCATTATATGGGATTGACAGCATCTGGGGACGCTCAGCGCCAGACAAAGAATAGGGACTTGGGGAGTATTTCACCCAAGTGTATAAAAGGATCAACACGAAGGACAGCTGTCACCAGCACCGAAATGCCTGGAGCCTTGCAGAGGGAGAGACCAACGCCTCTCACTATTGATTCCAACAAGTCTTGACTACAGTGTGTATTCTAAAAACCTTTCTCCACCTTATTATTCCCCTGACTCTCAGAGCTGTGTCATTTTAGGAACCACATTGAGCAGCGATGTTTGCGCAGAAGAAAGCACCAAAGCACCGTGCACGTTTTCATGCTGAGGAATATTATTAAATGTTTCCCAGCATGTGCGAACCAGGTAGTTATCCAATGCATATTTTAATAAGTGCATGCACCAACCTTAACTGCTAAAACCACAGGTAGGGTTGGAAAAATTGGCATCAAGACCAAGAGACGCCTCCACTCTCATTTTGGTCAGAGCAGCTTTGGTACTCGACGTTTTAATGTGCTCTTCCTCTCCGAAGAACCCATCAGACTCACTTTTCCCTCTAGGCTCCCTTTTGCAAACGCTCCTGCTCTGTGGCTTTAGGCATCATGGACTTACTCAGGGAAAGCCTGGCTGGTATTTTTTTTTTTCCAGAAGAGGAAAACTTCATCTGAAACTTCAGGTTTCCTACTGGAGAACCTGTGCTAACCCCACTCCCTGTGGCACAGAACAACCGCATCTGCCACTGGAAAATTAAGAGTTGTTTCTTCCTAAGCGTTCCCTTTCTTTCAACTCAGAAAACTATGGGAAAAATACTCTCCTGTAACAAATATTTTATTTAGGTAGTCACAGAATATGCTCGTTTTACTGGAGGATCCTTTCTAAGACATGACTGTCTCAAAAAATGCACATCATTTACCCAGAGAGTGCAATGATGGAGTCACTTGGTACCACGTTCCCAGAGTGGAAAAATGAGAGCTGTAGCTCTGTTCCCAGGACGCTGCACTGCATTACACACCCAGGGAATGCCACACAAAAACTAAAACCCCCAGCAACAGAAAGTATTATAGCTCCAAAATAGACAAGAGAGAAAACTCATTCCAATCTGATTTTTAAATTAATTAAAGCATCAAGTAAAAAAAACCCAAATAAGCATAAATTCTACCTAATTTCGCTACCCCACCTTCTGGGGTCGAGCTTTCCTGTGGCTACCTCACCCCCAAAAATGCAAACTTTGCAAACAGACACCCCACTTCCCACCTGAAATCATTTCTTTCAACTGCCTTTTACAAAGTGGCCTTTCAGACCGATCTCTCGGGAATGGAAGGGGTTAAGTGCCCACAGGTCCCAGCCTCCCCAGTAAATCATTTATTACCCCAGCTCGGGGACAAGCAGCTATGCAGAACCCAGAGCCCACGCTGTGCAGCTGTTCCCCAGCCAGGCAACTCTCTGCAATTACGCTATAACGCGGGATTAAACTTGGGGAGTGGAAATACATCCCTTTATTACCGGGGCTTGGTGAGGTTTTTTCCCAAGTTACACAGCTATTTTAAATGTTACAGAGCTCATTAACATCAAGTTCATTAAGCAGTTACCACTGCATGAATGAAATGAAAAGATTATAATTATAAGCACAATTATGGAAATGTTAGACTAGCAGGCAAAAAAAAGAAACGAGTGTGAGAATGCTGCTCCTAAACTCCACTTTAGCTTTTTTTTTCTCCCAGATCCTTCAGAGGAGGCACACCCAGAAATCAGACGGGATGCAGGGGCTGGTTCCCAGGCAGGAGCTCAGGTGAGCAGCTCTCACTGCCTGTGCTGGGGCTCCCTGGAGATTTCTCTGCTGCTGCCATGCAAGGAAGAAGTCACCCCCTTGGTCCCGGGAAGGGTCTGGCATCTTCCTCAGCATCAAGCACTGCTCGCTGCAAGCCCAACACGCTCCAGAAATTAGCAGCAAGTTAAGAAATTAAAGTCAAATCAAGCCATATAGTGCTTCTCTTACATAGCAGTTGCTGTCAAGCGTTCCTCCTTTAAACACACCCCCATATATTCAGCTAACGAGCATCGATGTTCATGATGAACCTGGAGACCAGCTCTCAGCAGCCATGTATTCATTCCCAATAAACCAGGTTTCATTCAGAGTTTTGCCAAAGACTTCATTTTTTCATCAAGTTCTGCAAATAGGTAAAATTCCCCTGCCCAACCCCATGGAAAAAAAAAAAAGGAAACCCAAATAATTACAATAAGTACTTGTCTCTCTACAGTAACAGCAGTTTATGATTAATCCACCCAGCTGTTGCCACAGCTCAGTAACGCCAAATGATTTGGACCCAGTATGGTTAAAGCACTGGTCTTCTCAGGCAAGGCCATGGAAAATGTGAGACACTGCAGAAGGTAAACAGGTTAGAGATGGTGGGAGGAGAGAAGAGGCAGCTTGCGGTGATTTTCCTTCCTCCCTCCCTCCACAGAGCTCCTGCACGGCAAGCGCCCATTTCCAAGCAAGACTCTCGCAGTTTCTTTGCTTCAGGCTAACAGTTTTTGCAAATTCAAGTCTTTTTGGAGAGAATGGGTGTAACTCCATGAGTCAGAACAGCTACTGTCAGTAACGCAATAACCATATATTCGCTTTTAGGTCAGATCCATCCCCTGATCTGGTTCACCACACTGAGAAGCTGGTCTTAATAGAAAAACAAACCCAGAAGCCTCAATGCCACGACTGCTCCAGGACAGACAGACAAATGGCTGTCATGATGATCGGGAGGCACATCCAACCCGCAGCCGGCGGGACCTGAGCCCCATGGACCCGAGCTCTGATCCTGACCGACTTCCACAGAAATCCTCAGGCTGTAGCCACATGCCTGCCCCGGGGACATGAAAGTCCTCTCTTAAAATAATACTGAAAAACAGCTGATGCTCTAAGTGTTAAGTGCTATTTTACACCACAGCATATGGTTGATGTAAGGGCTGAGACCACACACCCCCTTTCTTTTGTGTTTGGTTTTTTTTTTTTTTTTTTTTTTTTTTTTTTTTTTTTTTTTTTTTTTTTTTTTTTTTTTTTTTTTTTTTTTTTTTTTGCTTCCAATGCAAAGAAGTTGTATTTTATGGCAAAATAACCTGTCAAATTTGCTTACAACATGTGTTTCGGTGTCAGCATCCCCTCCTGCTGACAAGCCGGGCAAACCCATTCCCCCAAATCCCTCACCTCAACCCTCACTTATACCTGAAAGAGCTGCCAAAACATTTAACCTTACTTTAACTGCATGAAGCAGTACAGGTGGCTCCAAGACGTCCTTCAGGCCGTTCTCACACCAAGCAGGGAGGAGCAGGGCAGATGACGATGCTCAGCTCCTGGAAGAGAGGGAAAAGGGAGTCACTAGGTGCAGGGAACAGCATGGCTGCTGAGGGTCCCAACATCTAAGCTGGCACGGCAAAACCTTCACCAAGGGAGATGGAAACCATCCTCTACCTTGCTAGCCATTTGGGGAGGTATGCGTTGCCTCCCGTGGCAGCCCTGCATTGTGACCCACCCCAGGACTCCAAGAGCAGACACAGGGCAAAGACCACACTGAATATAAAACCACATGAGCATCCAGCAGCATCTAAGAATAATTGTGCTGCCAAGTTGTATTTGCTACTGTCCTGCTATTTGGTTTATTCTCAAAGCTGTTGATCTGTTGTCCCTCACCCATCTTAGACACAACCCCTCCAAGACAGACTTCACCAACTATTTGTGAACTCCCTTACAGCAAGGTATTTTAAATGGAGCGAAAGTGCCAAAAGTAGATGATGGCAGGTGATGGCCAGCAGATGAAGCTTAAATCTACCAGCAAGCTCTGCCAAACCCTTCTGGATTGCCAGCCCTTTTCCATGGGCTCTGGAACAAAATCTGCTCAGTAAAATTCATCCACAGGGATGAATCTGGTCTACTGAGCACACCTGGAAACAGCAGTTCAAGCGGGTTAAATGTCAAAAGAAGAAAAAGCCCAGATTGGGCTTTAGCTTATTAAATGCTGTGTGGGAGATTTTACTAGTTAAATCAAAGTCATCAGGGCACCTTAGGCCATCATTTGGTTACCACACCAGGGAAGGCTGTGGCTACACACACACACACACATCACCGAACGCAAGCGCGACGCACCGACTGCCTCCTCCTGTTCTTCCAGACAGAGGAGACTCTGCCCCTGCGCTCTCCCCGTTGGGAAAGCATCCGTAATCAGGGAATCTCACAGCCTGAGCCAACCTGCCAAGTTCAAAGTGCAATTACAGGCACAGAAGTAACAATGGCAAAACTAGTTACCGGCTGGGAAATCAATTGTATTGTGTGAATGAGCTGGGGAACGTACAACATTGGAAGATAATGCATTGCACAACAAATCGCACTCATTCATCTGCACAAGAAACAGCATCACCTGGACACCCCAATGTTGGTTTTACACAATGTTTTCTTAAGATTTATTGCTACAAGTCTCTTTTATCCATTCTGCTGGTGGTTCCTGCTGACAAATGGGGAGACTGTTTTGCAAGACACCACAGGGTTCTGAGTGCTAAAAGGCATTTTACTACAAGTACATATATTTAAATGTAGACTAAATTGGAAAAAAAAAGTTTGTCCTCTTGTTCTTCTTAAAGTATCAGGATTGTGCATGAATTTCTTCATTGCATTGTCACACATTTCTGAGTATATTCTTATGGCAAACTACTGGAGCTGAAAGAAGAATTGCCTGAACTCTCAAAACCCAATCAAGAGCACGCAAACCCTCTTTGAATTTATTAACCAGTAAAAACCATCCTTACAGTCACAAACAAACAGACTGGAACTTCCCTCCGGCATTCCTGTAGCATTACTTTCGGGACCACATTTTAAAAGATGGTTACTGTTTGATAAAGCAATGATTAACTACGTTAAGCAAGCAATGTTAACCCAAGGCTCCTACTACCCATTCCACGTTGATCTCCAAGTAACAGCTCTCTCCAGGGCATACACTACAACAATACAGTGGGTTCATTCATTTGTGAGACACTGATAACTTGGCTTTTAATACCATACTTGTAATATTTTGGCAGAGAAAGCAGGGTTTGCTGCTATTCCTTTGAAGGGACAAGCAATAAGGTATGGCTAACACTGTAAATAGTGAGTAAGCTGTGAATCACCCCAGGTTTTTCATCATATCTACCTACTAAGGCATGAGGGTGTGTTTATGGAGACGCACATGCAAACTCACTTGGATGTTCAGGACTTGGAAAGCGTTAGCAAGCAGAGAAAATCAACTGGCCTAGCAATAAAAAGCAGTAATACAAGATCATAAAAATTCCTCCTCTGGGCTTTTTGATTTTTTTATTTGTTTGCTTTTATTCTGTAGGAATTTTCACATTGCTACAGGAAGAAGCGAAGAATATTAAAAAGTCTTAGATATATATTTTAGTTCTGTATGTAAAGAGCCCGCACAATCAGTAAGGTTGTCCGTATCAAAAATCAATTCCCCAAAGAACTGATCTCTGCTTCCTGTGAAACTGTGACGGGATAATTCCCCCACCCCTAGGCACACCCAGTTCAGAAGAAGGATTTCTCCACGTGGATTTCTTCTCCTCATCTTCCTTTCCTGAGAAATCATTACCAAGTGGAGGTAAACATTGACAGGGCTCCTCTTTTCGGAATCTTTAAGAGATAGTTTAAAAACTATGTCTCATGGGTGAGCTCATACTGCTTTACAAATCAAAAACTATTCTGTATCTTCACAGGAAGATGACGACATCCAGTGTTTTTTATAAGGAAAGCTGTAAAAAACAACCGGGTTTCTAAACTGCTGTGCCAACATTCCAATATTCTGACCCGTAACTCTGGATCTTTTCTGCCCAAAAAGGTCCTGTAGTCATGATAGTCACGATATGACACAGTACCCACTAAAGTAAATGAGAACGTAAAGGAGAGTCCTTTTGACACTTGCCTTTACACAACCTATTCTGATCAGACTTAACAAAAATAGAGGCAAAAACCCATGTTGTTTGCTAGGACAGGATTATTGGATGGCAGGTTGCTTGTGGTCTTGCTCCCTACATACTGAGGCAACTAAAGCAGGAGTTACCCAAACCCCTGATGAATTACTGAAATACACCTAGGGAAGAGAGGAGGAAAGAAAGTTTAAGGTCAGCATTACAGCTATTTACACTTTTAAAAAGACAAGGTAACTAGCCCTGTGGATTATATATGTAATTCCTGTAATAGGTAATTTTTTTTCCCAAAAAAGAGCCCAACAGCTTAGAGGTGATCTCCATCCCATGTCTCCTTTACAGGCAAAGGAGCCAAGAGCCTAAAGGGACACTACACATTTCTCGATTAAATGAATGGCAGGGACTAACAGAGCAAAAAAAGGAGTTAATCCATGTTGAAAATCTATTCAGGAGCAAACAGGTGGGGCTCTCAAACTCCTATGCTTGGTAGACCCCCAACACTTGGACCTCAAGCTTTCCAATTGCTCTGCTGGTTTCTCGAACGCTCACCCTTCCCAAACACTGCCCAGCACAGAGGAAACCACTCCTTTCAACTTGCTTTTTTTCCCCCCCCCCCCGAACACGAACCCATTTTATTTTTCTGAGAAGTGCTGCCTGTTTTGTTGCTCTGCCAGCTGATGGCTTTGACACGTCAAACGAGTTACCTCACCATCTGGTTGTAATTGCCATCATGAAGCTTTCAACAAATTCAAAAAACAGCACCAAGATCAGGGCACTAATGGTTTAGGAGATCAACTTCCGATTATTTGATACAGCTGGAATCTTTTGGTAGCTAAGACACCCAAACACAGCCAATCCCACAGCTACAGCACCCAAACCAACCTTTGGAGTATTTCCGAGTTTTGGCTGTTGCCCGCAATAAAGCCTCTTTACAATTTCATATAAAATGATGTCAAGGAAAATGCTGGTTCTCCTTCTCAACTCCCAAATTGCCGGGTGTACAACTGCATGTTGCTGTTATCTTTTGCTTTTAATACACAGTCTATACTTATATACCATTATATTCTCATTACAGGACATCCTTTTCCTGCTTCTAGTGCATCTCCCAAGAGAAACTGGCTCACAAGACCTTCTCGGAAGTTTGTCCCATGGTCTGAACCGTGTTTCCTAATTCCTTAGGGAAGGGAGCCCGGACACACTCCACTCGGACAAGGCATTTCCCACAGTCACATGCTACAAAGCCACATTCAGAGCAGCAACTTCTTCCCTCAGTTGACCTCAAGGGAAAGTCAAGCAGGTCCCCACCAAAGCTAGAGAAGAGCAAGAGCATCCAAGCTGCTACAGTACTCAGCGAGACAAATCAACATAAATGTGTTTGGGCTATAAAGAGAAGAATTAAAAATTATTTGCCTTAAATCTGCTTCGCTTTATGCATGTGTAAATGGAACATGGATCTACTAACGGCTGCATCACACTATGTTTTTAGCAGCTGAGCAGAGGGCAGATTGCAGCTCATCATGTTTTGACACAAACACAAGGTTCCTCTGAAAGTAAATAATGGTTTTGTTTAGAAGGCAGCATCTGACTTGGCACACTGGATGAAGAAAAGCCAAGAATTTTAAAACAATAGAAAGTAAAACATATCCATATTTCACACGATTGTACACACTGCAGAGCAAGCAATAACATTAGTATGTTAACTGGAGTCCCATTAATCCTGATTACTAAGAGGAGGGAGAAAAAAATTCTTTCACATACACTGTTATAACTTTTGAAACAAACTTTTTTGACAGTGTCGCCTTGGACTTGTAGACAGAAATATTCCCATGGCGGTGGAAAAAGGGAAACAAGGAAGCACCCAACCAAGGGGCTTCCCTCCTTACTCTAGCCCTGGACAGACACAAATTTTTTCTTGAGAACGTGGAGATCTGCACAGAACTTACAGAAATCTTGGGTTTGCTTTTTACTTCCACCAGCAATTGCAAAGCAGTGAAACAAAGAGACCGGGGATGCTTTACACCTCTTGACATCAGCCTGAGCTCCGTGAACTCCTCTGGTGCAATAACCCCCAGGAACCTGTTTCCCCAGGAGAAGATGAGGTGCCACTATGACCCTGGAAGCAGTGAAGTCCCCCTGACCTCTGAGAGCAGAGTCCTGCTCTTGAAAGGCATACGATTGAGATTTTGAAGGCTGAAACCAGAAGAAAAAAGAAAAAAAAACTGGAGAGTATAATAATGTTTTTGTGACTCATTACAGTTTTTACTAATAATAAAAGCAGGATTTGGTCCAGAAATCTGTCCATTTTAAGTATGTCACAACATTCATCCTAAACAGCCACTGCTTCTTTCCAGCCTTGTAAAACCACATCAGGCTTGAGATAAGGACTTCAAACTATTTCC